CTTATCCTGCTTACCTCAGGAACTTCTGTATGAAGCTTCCACATACAGCAACAAACTAGTGGTGTTACATCCTCAAGGGAGTCTAATTTAAAACTAAATAAGGAGTACCACCAGAAATCCCCACTCCACCAAAGTCATTTAGATTCTTCCACACACTTGGGCTACTCTTTTCACCAAACTCCACAATTACCCCATAGAAGTTCTGCAACACCAGCCAGCAACACCAACTCTAATTTCATACACTTCATCTATAAAGTAAAAAAATTAAATTTTTAAATAATTTTTCTTTAAAGTTTGAAAGAAAACATTATGAAAATTTTATGTCAGTAAAAAATTCCTTTTTTATTATCTCCTGTCTCCAAGAGCATTTCTCATTGTTATCAAAACAACCAGGGAAATTAACTAATGGCATAAAGGTTCACTGTTATCAGATACAATTTTACTACTAATTTTAGGTTTTAGTAGTAAGTAGTAAGGTCTGGTGCAATCATAATTAATAAGGGGATCTTTTTCCCACAACTTTCACATGAAGATTTGAAGCCTTTACAGCATTCCCTAGATGCATTTTACTTTGGTTTGCCCAAAAAATCCCCCAGGAGTAACTCCAGAAAATACCTACATTTAGACAGTCCGTACCAGAGAACAGAATTTGCCAGCAGCACTTCAGAATAAATTCATACCTATTTCCAGGATCCCCCAGAATATGAGTAATTCTCAAGCACTCATGTAAATACCGGTAAGTTTAGGATGCTACCTCTAGATTTTTGAGCACAGGGAACAGCAGATTTATAGTCAGTCTGAGTCCTCTCTTCCTAAGCCCCAGCTTTTTGGCAACACATCGTCATACATACAGTCAATGTAGATTGCCAGGAGACCTGCTCAGCAATTGCTTCAGCAACTGCCTAGAATTATAGGCTACAGAAAGCTTAGTTTTCTTCTGGATTTGTTGGCAAGGGATTTTAAGAAGCGTACTCTTTCCTACCTTCCAGGTCCTACTTCTCCATTTTTTATATATCCATTCACATAGAAAATGTGATTCTGTATACCGTGTTGTGTAGCTATTACAAAGATAATATTAAGGGATAACTCTGAAATCATTACATGTCTGAGAGCTCTGTTTGTGAAGTCTCTATCTGCCATCGTGTCATTACTAGATGCACTTTAATTGCTGTCCCAGTCATTTCTGAACTCAGCATGCTGAGTCTGAATTAACAACAGTGTGCCCTTTCAGTCTACAAATACTAAAATGAAAAATACACTGGTAACAGAAATAATGTTAAACCTTCATACAAGAGACGAAGGAATCTCAGTGGGCTATATAATGGGAGAAGGGCATCTCTTTTGCCCTCTTAACTTCCCTTCTACTTCCAGCCTGACTTTATCAAGCACCCGAGATTTGCCTGTACAGACATCACTTCAGAGAGCGATGCTGCACTGTGAGGGAGCACTGTACCAAGAACACAAGGACCCATGGCCTGAAGCCCAGGGTCTCAGTCCATATGTCCCTTCTCACTGAGGGTACAGTGCTCTCACAACTCCCATCCTGCAATGGCTCTGCTTGGGTACCACCATTTTGCCAACAAAGTTCCATTCCTTCAATGCAAAGACTTGCCATGTCCACAGTTCCCAGGGGGTGGGTACCATTGTGCAGCCAAGCACTGAGGGGGGGAAGCACATCTCAAATCTTAGAATTTGAGCTTGGTCACCAAACACAATAAATGTCATAGCTGAAGGGATAACCTGATATAGAGAATATGGGAGATTTTCTTCTGTTTGGATGGCAGGTTTACCTCTTCTCAGTTTTATAAGATAAGGGGATAATGGCCCAATTGTATGTACAGGTGGAATAATGCAGTTTGCTCTGTCATATTCATGTCTCTGTTTGCCTTCAGAAGTTCCAGGAGAAGGAAAATGATCTTAACAAAACTTTTAAGAGGGGTGACTTGTTTAGCTGAAGTTAATTTTGTAAGAGGAGTTAACTTTGTATGTACTTGCATCTAATAAGATGGCAGATTAGATGCATCTAATCAAGGTACACCTTGTTTGTAGTGAAAACACTAGCCAGTATCTTTTTAAAGAGATAATTTGTCTATCTTTGAAGCATGTTATACGTCATGTGATGTGCTTATTCACACAGATTCTGCACAACAGAGTATTTCTTTATTTCACAGTGAATTATATATATATATGTATGTATGTAATTGACTCTGTCAAGATCACATTCATCTACATTAAATGGTAAAGCACTAAATGTCCAGTCAGGAAATACCAACCTGATTAAACAGTTGATTGTCTTCTTTTTAAAATAAAAAAATGTGGGCATTTTAGTATGAATAGCCACAGATAGTCCCACCTTGGCAAGAGAAAGTAAGATAAGCAGTAAGTCTGGTTTATCTTCCCTGATTTATAGTAAATTTTGTTCAGAGGCTTGGTACTTGACCTTGGCTAGGATTCTGCTTCTCTGTCTCTACATCCCACTCATGTTGTTGTCTGTATGTAGTGAATGATCTTCAGGCACAGAGGGCTCTGAAGCACAAGTGTATTATAATTAAGGACTTCAGAAACATTTGGCAGCTTTCAAAAAATTTTGGTAGATCAACAAGTTATTTCCAAATTGTGTCCTTTCGCAGGTGTGCAAAGCACATAACATGCAAAATAATGTGCTTACCCTTCCCTTCTTAGTAGCAAACTGACCTACACACAGACACACAGCTCCATGTTAACAGAAACAGTCCCGTGTGTGCTGCCTTTGCCTGGGGAGGAGAGTACTGTTGGGAGGAATAAAGGAGAGAGACGATTCAACTAGCAGGCAGGAAGATAAGAGGCAGGAGAAGGGAGGAGGGCAGAGGAGGTGGATCTTGTGGGGAACCAGGGTGTGACAGCTAGAGAGGAAGGTGCAAGGGCTGTGGGAAAGGGGGAAGTGGTTCTAAAGGAAACAGATGGGAAGAGAGGTAGATGGGAGATTAGGACTCAAATACATAGTAATCCAAACTTCTTTAAATCAGATGGTCATGCAAAAATGTAGTTTGCTTCCAGTCACAGCTAGAGATTGAACTGGACGATCTCAAGGAGTTCCTTATAATTTATATTATTTTTTCTTTAGCATCAGCCCTCCAAACTGAAAATGTTTCACTTTACAGAAGTGTATTTAATCAGAGGGTTTTCTTAACCAGATAAAGATGATTGTACCAAAAAAAGTACACAAAATCAGATCCAAACACATGGGAACCCAGTAGAGGGATAATTTATTTATGTTGCCATATACAAAATGCTACAAATAAGAGTGGAATTTTTGAAATCAATATTTTTCAAATTTAAATCTTACATTGCTATTAGCATATAAGGTTCTGTAGTTAGTGCAGAAAAATTCACATGTAAGAATTTGAGACCAAGAGTTGCATATTAACTTAAAAAAATATAAAAGCAAACAAACAACAACAACCAAACCAATCAAAGAAAAAGTCCAAAGAGAATAACACTGTTAAAAGGAAAAATAATTTCAGAGTGGATGATAAATGCATAGAACATAAGAAATACTTGTCTGCTAGACTAGGGCTTTGAATGAACTTTAGAAGATGGAGCCAGGAAGCAGTAATGAGGATAAAATAAGCCATGTGTCCTGGAATAATTAGATAATTCTCTGACACAGCCCACACATTTTGGCTGGTTCAGGCCTGTTTCATGGCTGGTTCCCTGTGTTCCAATGTCCTTCATCCATTTCCCTCACTCTGGACTAAGTTCCTTTGCAACCACAAGCAGATGTTCTCCAGACTAAAATTCAGAACAGAGAAAACAAGTTATACTGGAAGGTTTAAATAGTTTGTGGGGTCATTAGTATATCTGTCCAGAGCTGGTGATGCTTTGGAGACCCTTTAAGAACAGACAACTGAGCACCAAGTAGGAAGGAGACATAATTTTATAGATCTAAATGTACCACAGCCTGTGCTCTTAAAACATTTCATCACATCCATGGGGCAAGGAGACAGGGGGAACAGCATATTTACGCGATTGTTTCTCAACACATTGTGCTCTTAAAAATGTACATTTGTCATTGAGATGATTTACTGTGCTCTTTTCTTGGAGCTATTGTAAGTCAACAAGAGCTATTTTGCTCATTTACAACTGAATCAAACCAAAGTCTTTACAGACCTACCATTTATATACCAGATTACTTTTTAGTGCAGGTGTTTTGCTTACACAGAAGGAAGCAGCAATATACTGTGATCAAAGAGGACTTGAAAGTCCAGAGTGCCAACACCAGCTCTCCATCAGGTGCTAGCTGACTCATTGGCTTTTAATGTGTAACTAACGACTAACAATTGAGGTAGCAGTTGATAAGACTGTCTCACTGAAGTTAATAGAAGTGAACAAATGTTATCCTAATGAATACTGATGCTGACTCGGTCAGTTAATACTGCTAAAGCATTAGAAAATTTGAATAAAAGGTGTAGGGAATGTTATGACCTATTAACATCATCTCTCTCCTTCCTATGGATTAAACCACTGCAGACCTAGAGGTTCCTTTGCCTGTAGTTCCTCTCTGCAGCACCTGGACCCCCGCTACACCCCTCGCAGCCCGAGAGGCGCGTCTGGGCACGGCGGAGTGGCGCGGGGCTGTGCGGAGCCCAGCGGTGCGGGGCTGTGCGGTGCGGTGCGGTGCGGTGCGGAGCCCCCGCCCCGGCCCGCCCCGGGCCCAGGGCGGCCAATGCACGGCCGGGGAGGCAGAGCCGAGGAAGGAGCCGGGGAAAACATCAGTCCTAACTTTCTCACCTTGAAAGGAACCAGGCGCTCCCGATGCGTCCCCTCCAGCCTCCCTCCCTGCCAGCACAACCTCCTCGGGAGCACCGTCCGACTGCTCGTGCTTGCCCCGCCAGCCGCCCCCTGCCCCACGAGGGGGAGAGACTCGAGTAGGGGGGCGCCTCTGGGGACCGTCCCCCTCGGTCCCTGCTGCCCGGGGGCCGCGGGCAGCGGCGGCGGTGCGGCGGGGCTCGATGCGGCTGCCATGGGGCGCGGGGCTCCCCTCGGACCCTGCCTGCTGCGGGCAGTGCTGCTGCTGCTCGCCCTCTGCCCCGCCGCTGGCAGCACCTGGATGTGAGTAGCCGGGCGGGGGTTGGAGGGCTGCGCGGTGCCCGTCCCGCCGTGTCCGCCGGGGCCCGGCACTGATGGGGGGCTGCTCCTGCAGGTGGCTGGGCATCGCCGCCGCCGGCGGGCCGGAGAAGCCGGGCTGCGCCAGCCCTCCGCTGAGCCGCCGGCAGCTGGACCTGTGCGAGCAGAAGCCGGAGCTGGTGCCCGCCATCCGGGAGGGAGCGCGTCTGGGCCTCCAGGAGTGCCGCAGCCAGTTCCGACACGAGCGCTGGGACTGCCGCTCGCCGCCCGCCTTCGACCAGCAGCTCAGCAGCGGTGAGTGCCCGCCGGGGGGGCCGCCGGTGCGCCCGCTGCCGGCACAGCGGGGCTGCCCCGATGTGTTGGGTTTGGGTTTGGGTTTGCGTGGCGAGGAGTCCCGCGGGGCGGCGCTGGGGACCGTCCGTCCGTCCGTCCCGACGGCAGAACTGGGCACAGTCGGGGCGGCGGGGCGGGCGGTCACCGCAGCCGTAGCGGAAGGCTACCTCACACTCACGAAACGCACCCGATAGACGAAACCTGCCCTTGCCTTTCCAGCGTTGTTGTTGTGTTTTTGTAGTTTTTGCTTAGTACGCCCGTGGACGACATTGCCCGTATGTAGATCCACTTAAATATGTTGAAATGTTGTTATTCTTAAACTTATGTTGGGTTGATTCCCTTATGTCGTAATTACTAAATGAGTGGGGTGATGACACATAGTATTTCAAAAAGGTCACTTGTTTGCAGGTAAAAAATCTGCTCAAGGCACCACTTACAGTGTGAATTGCTTTAAAATGTATCATATGCGCACAGTGACATGGTATTGATCAGCACAGCAAGACCAAAGCTCTTTTTGTTGCATTACCTAATTATGGAACTGCTGAAATTTCCACTGAAATAAGGAGAAGCCTTTGGTGCTTACATTTGATGCAAATTATGCTTGAATCAGATGTCAGCACCAAAGGTGTCCTGCAAACTGATTTTTAGCACTCTGATCACTGATTGTGTGATTGATGTGAATTTATGTATTGTGGCATTTCCTTTTATGTTTGTGCAATCTTCACTTTGTACTAAAAGAGTGTAAAAATCCCAAGCATTAACCATGAAAACATAAAATGAGAGATAAAAAGTGGTTCCAAAACCAAAAAAAGAAAATGGGAGAAGTTTGCCCCACTATATGTAGCCGTATGTATTGTATGCTAGTCCCTCTGTCCAACAGGAAGAACTGTTCCTGAAGACCCATAGATGAGTGCCACTGCTCACCACTGCTCAGTGCCACAAAGCTTCACTAGTGTGTCCCGTGGAAGCCTTTTATGATGGTACCAGCACCATAGGCCACCATGAACAAGGGAAACAAACAGGAACTTTCCTGCCTGTGAGCAGGAACCCAGGAGACTGTTTCACAATAGTGGAAATTAGCGCAGTGATATTTTAGCTACAGTTATTCACCACCCTTGGATTTTCAGTTTGCTTAGGATATACCTTGCTTAACATGGTTTAAAGCTGTGTGCCACATTATGCTGGAAGTCTCAGAGAATGGAATCAGCTTTAGAAGCCCAGGCAGGTCACTCCATGATTCTTCTGAGATATAGTCCAACAATTAAAGGCCTTTTATGCTACTGTCTTTCCCATGGCCACCTTATTCTAGGAAAAGCACACGGCCTAAATATTCTTGTGCCATCCTGATTTCTATCTGGTTTAAGATTTCTGGGGCTCTTTGCAACCTTTGTGAATTAGAATAACATCAATGTTTGCTGAATCTAGCATGAGGTAAGTTCTGGCCCTACACCAAAGTAACCTGGGATTGTGACAGCTTCTCTGAGATTTAAACTAACCTTTTCTTATTCTTCAAATCAATATGAATTGTGAAAAGCAGAGTGGAGAGTAAGGGGTTTGGAATGTGGTTAGTTTGGGGTTTGATTTTTTATTTTTATTTTTTATTATTAAAATTTAATTGGCTTGAAAATTTCTGTGGCAAATAAAGTTCCCAATCAGATTTAGAAAGAAGTTACCAAAAAATGCATGATACAAGCATCAAGAAACAGCACCATTAGTAGCATGGTTCTACAAAGGGACCATGAAGTCACTTTTGGATACGAACATCCACTACTTTAAACAGGTTAACACTACAGGCCAAGCTGTGATGACTTTCAACTTTTAACTGTTCACTTTTAATAATAGTCTGGCTTGTAAAATTGCTTTCTACAGCCCAGCCAGGAAGGTAATCAGAGGGATTTATGAAGTAATATTTTCATACCTTGCTTTGCAGGCACGAAGGAGACCGCATTCATCTACGCGGTGACATCAGCGGGACTGGTGCATTCGGTGACGCGATCGTGCAGCGCGGGGAATGTGACCGAGTGCTCCTGCGACCTGAGCCTGAGGCACGGTGGCTCTGCCAGCGAGGGCTGGCACTGGGGCGGCTGCTCTGACGATATCCACTATGGAATGTCATTCAGCAGAAAGTTCCTGGACGTGCCTCTGAAGAACATAACGGGCAAGAGTGGGAGCGGACTGGTGCTGATGAACCTGCACAACAATGAGGCTGGGAGGCAGGTATGTGTCATTCAGATGTGGGCAGCAACTGCTTCTTCTCCTTCTTTGGCAAAATGGTATCAACCAAAGGAGGCCGGCCCTTGACTGCAGGTGTATGTGGTAAGAAGAGCACTAACATTCACCAAAGCTCAAGAATCAGAGCTAGTTTTAACTAACTAATCCCCATGGATTAAAATAAAAGCCACAAACTAAGAAATAAATCTGCCATGCTTAAATAATGAACTTATCCTAAAGAGATGTTTGATATTCTGAAGCAAATTTGAAAATCATCCTGTTATCAGCATAATACAATTTTTTCGCTGACTGTTCTGTTATCATCGTGACCTGCTTTTTTTATTATCTCTAATACTGAAGGAGAAGGCCAACTGGATGAAAGGCCTCATTGCTCATCCACAGTCCAGTGTGCACACCTGAGACCACAAGTCTAGCATCATTCAGAGAGGAAATCAAGAGTTAATATTGTCATTTAAAACATGGGATAGAAACGACATCTCTATTTTAAAATAGCTCATTGGTTAAGACATGAATCAAAGAGGTGAGAGGAGACTGGCTTTGGATAGCTTTTCATCAGCCCAAAGAATTTCAAACCCATGTTTGCAGAGGAAATGTGTGTGTGCAGGTGTGTACATTGGGTTCTCCTGTCCTGTCCTGTAAAGGGTGAAAAATGGGGTCCAAAACAACCCACAGAGGGAGATGTGAGCCTATGAGTGCTTGGAGCTTACATCTGGAATGACAGAGACTTGGATTCTGGTTCTTGCTTTAAAATTACTTTCTCTGCTTTATCTTGGAGTTTTGAACTTTGTCTTTAATGGTTCTCTCTGGGTCCATAATACTTTAGGTCTGTTCTTTTCAGATATAACTAAAGATATAACTAAAGAAGAAGAAAAAAAGGAGAACCTTTAGTTTTAACTACACATCTTGATGGACTTCATTGTAATTCAGTAATTTCTTGTAGTCAGAAGCAGGATCAGTGGGTTTTACTGAACCCAGCTTCCCTATCTGCCACAGACAAGGAATAACTATAGTTAACCATCATAAGGACCATGGTGGTATAACTGAAAACTATTTTAATTTAAACTAATTTTTACAGGTAATATGTTCTCTCATTTAAACTATATAGCTGGAAAACCAGAAAATCTTTCAGGTCCCTTTCAATCCAAACCATTCTATGATTCTGTGGTTCTATGTTACAAAACAAGTACTGGCAGTCCTTGTCTCAGAGCTGAGAACAGTGCCTGCAAACAAAAAGCTTAGCGTGGAGATATTAAGCATTAATTGGCATGAGGGAGTATGCAAACTGATTCCATTGACACTGTCCTTTGCTGCAGACCCATCTCTGTTTTCTGCCCATCAGCCTGTTCTAGCCACAGATTCCCACCTCATGCCACTCCCTCTGTTAATTGCATTGGATCAGTGAAAGGAAGTCAGTTTAAAATTATCTTTCTCTCAGGTTAATTTTTAACACAAACCAGTGTTCAGCCATGTTCATCACTTAACCCTGCACTCTTATTGTATTCATACCACCAAGGCTGAGGCAGTGAATGGCAATAGGGGCAAGAGGAACTGCTCAGGTGGGCTTGTGGCTGACCACAACACTTGTGGACACAGTTCTGTTCCACACAGATCATTTCTCAGAAGCTACCAGACAGTTTCATGACCAGCCTAAGAAAACCTGTCCCAGCTTACTGAGAACAACGCATCTATCCACTACGTTTTTGTAACAGTGCTCCTCTGAAGTTCTCTACACAACTTTGTTTCTTAGGGAGATTTCTCTCATAATTCATTGAATAACTGAACAGATTCATGATATGAAACTAAAGCGTGAAACCAAACACTGGTCATGGAGTCAGTCTGGAAGGCATGCTCCTGGTAACTCTGTGCTCTGCTGAGATGCAGGTGTGTGCTCCCGATACAGAGGTGTGTGCTGAAGCTGTGTCACACCAGAGGGCTGTGTTGGCTCTGTAGGCAGCATCTTAGGTTTACTTTCAAGAAAATGTCAGATGAAGATGCCTAGACCCTAAATTTTGCCAGATGTTCAACTATGTTCAACTTTGTTCAAGATGTTCAACTTTAATGAACATATGTTCATTAAAGTTGAACATCTTGAACAAAGTTGAACATAGTTGAACTATGTTCATTATAATGATACTATGTTCATTATGAACTATGTTCATTAAAGTTCACAGGGCAGACTGAGATTCAGAGGCATGTTCTGTGATCAGATAAAGCAAGATGTCACTTTCCTGTGCTGGCAGTAGAGGCAACCCAAAATACTTTGAAGTCCGACTGAAAACTTGCCCATCCTAGCATCCTAGATTGATTGCTGAGTATTTGAGTTGTAGTCTCAGATAAAGAAAGTTACTTCTTGTTTACAGATTGAAGTTCTTTGAGACTTGGTCTCCTACAAACTGAACAAAAAATCTTGTGTGTTACAAAAACTCAACACAGGCTTCAGATTCCCGTTGTTCACCAGAGAGTTATCGTTCAGCCCAGCCCTTGCTTCTGCAGGGGCATGGAAAAGTAACTCACCTAAGAGTATTTTAGTGTTGGTAATAACTGTGGAATCTTTACTAAAACACTGAAAATCATAAAAGTAATATGAATGCAACTATCTAATTGTGTTAAATAGAGCCATTTTGAAACTGGAAACACTAGAAACCCATTCTAGTACTAGTATGCATAAATTGCAAGAACCAGGCTTGATCCTAAAAGTGAGAAGCACTTGAGATTTACTCCAGAATACCTGAGTTTAAGACACCTCTGCTGAGCCGTGGTGGCTTCTTTGACAGACTGTCTGTGAAGCTCAGAAAGGTGGGCATCCTCCTGCTCCTGCAGCAGAAGTCTGCCCTGAGGTGCCTGCAGGCTGCACACTGCACTGCTTTGGGTGCTGAGCCATGCCATGCCCAGGGGCTGTTGTGTGACTTCAGCCATTCTCGGGGCGTTAGATGGAGACTGGGGTTGTGAATGTTTAGTGATCTTTGTGGTAGCTGCAAGGTATCCTTAAAAAGCAACATAACTGGGCACTTACGTGCCCAGTAAGTGTCTTACAGCACAGGAAGGTGCTTTGACCTGCCCTATCACTGCTTTCTCTTTCTGCTATTCCCCATGAGAGCTGTTTGCATTCCAGTGGTGGGAGGAGTGACACAGGACATGCAATTTCAGGTATTTAGGATCCTCCAGAATGAAAAGCGATCCAGAAATCACAGCTTTCATTGTTGTGATTTGATATTGCTATATTATGGCCATTGCAAAGTCCAAATGCAGAGCACTTCTGAAGATGGGGCTTCTCATAGTGAGGGTCTGTGGTTCCTGACATGTTCTCTGACTTCTCTGTCACTGAAATGGCAATGGCAACTGTAATATTAAATACCTTGAGACCTCCATGTTACTGATGTCAGGCAGTGTTCCTAATGAATGAAAGATCACATCCAAATGTTCTTCTCCCTTTGCTTTCAGGCTGTAGCAAAGCTGATGTCTGTGGATTGTCGTTGTCATGGTGTTTCTGGGTCCTGTGCTGTGAAAACTTGTTGGAAAACAATGTCATCCTTTGAAAAGATTGGCCGGTTTTTAAAGGATAAGTATGAAAACAGCATACAAATATCAGACAGATTGAAAAAAAAGCTACGCAGGAAAGAGAAAAGCCAGAGAAAAGTACCAATCGGGAAAGAGGACCTGCTCTATGTGAACAAATCACCCAATTACTGTGTTGAAGATCAAAAATTGGGGATCCCTGGGACTCAGGGAAGAGAATGTAACCGCACCTCGCAGGGACCCGACGGCTGTAACCTGCTGTGCTGCGGGCGTGGGTACAACACCCATGTTGTCAGGCACGTGGAAAGGTGCGAGTGCAAGTTTGTCTGGTGCTGCTACGTGCGCTGCAGGAGGTGTGAGACCATGACCGATGTACACACCTGCAAGTAAGATGAAGTACAGGAAACACAGCCAAAACATCCTGCCCGTCTGGTGACCAGCTACCACACAGGCAGCAATTCCTATTACTGTGTGGGATTGCAGGGGGATCAACCTTGGAAAGAATGGGTACTGCCAAACAACAGGTACTCTAAGCATGTGGCGACTGAAATAATGAGTGAGTGAACACCAGACTGCACTCAGGAACTGCTTAAACAGCAAAAAAGGATTTCTGATGACACATTTGAACATATTACTCTTTGAGCAGGGACAGATGCTAAACTTTTCAAGTCTTTAAGATCCTCAACATCCTGAAGATTCGTGTGGTGGGTAGGTACAGTGGAGAAAACTCAAGATCTCATTAGCCAGAGACTGAAGAGTTAAGAAGGCTTGTAAGATCCATTAGATATAACCTTATGTCTGTGTTTTTAAAAGTGGGACAAGATGAATCCACTAGATGTTTCATTTCTGCACTTCAGAAAAAATCACAAGGGTAGGGGAGGTGTTCTGCTGTTGACCACTAAGTGTTTGCTGTGCAGCTGTTTGGAAAGCTGTCTTCTGTGTAATATGCAGAAAAGCATCTGGTACTGAGAAACGTGCATGACTGCAGAGAGCTCAGCACTGCCTGGTTGGGAGAGAAGGGTCTGTTGGTGTGGAGCAAGCTGTGCCCAGAGTAGAGAGGCGAGAGCACAGCTTGATGAATGTGAACAGTGTACCAAATAGTAACCTCAGGATTTTTTTACAGCTTGCCCTTCAAATGCATAAGGGACAGGTCTGAGGAAGGATTAAAATACAGTTTAAAATTTGAAGGAAATAAAAACCCTTGCAGGCATTTACTCAATATCTGAGCACACATTTTGTGAGTCAGCTGGTCATCACCTCACTGTTGAACTCTATGCAATAACCTGCCATGTTGAATCATCTCACTGGTGTTTTACAATCATATTCAAAATTAACCATATGAAACTCAGCCCAAAGAAATCTGCCAAAAAGCAAAACATTTTTTAAAACATTTTCTTTATAGAAGCAGCATCTAAAATTTTTCATTAGGTTGCATCCTCATTAAATTCAATGCACAATGTAATTTATGGATTGGCTCACACCACTAAAATATTTAACTGTTAATGATAACATTTTCTCCCCCTTCATTTGTTGGCTTAATTTTATTTTACATCTGTGAAAGGTTGTTTATTTTCATGCAATGATTTAATGCCTAGCTTAAAAAGCAGTATGTGAAAGGATTACTGTTGTTTAATTGTGAAAATACTTATTTTTGATAAGACAAGAAAGTTTATATTTTGTAAATATTTAAATTATGCAAGTTATGTAAAAGTTTTCTAAAACTAATGCGATAAGACTGCAGCCTTTGATATTTGTTGGTTAGATATTTGTGAATATTGTAGTAGCCTTTAATTGATTTTTATTTGCATGTGCTGAGGGAAAATAGAGAATTACATAAATGTTCTTTTTTCTTACCATCAGGGTGCTCGTAATTATTGCAGTTAATACACACTGATGAGAAACACTATGATTTTCTAAATGATCAGTTAATTAGTATTCTGAATATTTTCTTTTTTATTATTGTTCTTTTAAATGCATTTTACAAACACTGAAATCCTAGCTGCAACACCAAGTGCAGAACTCCCTCTGATATCAAGGGGACTTGCAAGGGTTTGCAATCCCTTAACTTCTTCCACACTAACAGTTTTTAGAAAGAAATCATCTTGGACAGTTTGGTTGAGGCTTTCAAAGTTACTTTGAAGAATTCATTTCCTAGCTGTCAATTATTTTTCCATGAAAGATGGTGACCAGATTCCCTGTCACTCTTTATTGGATGCGTAGGTCAGGAAGAAGGGAACAAAATCTTCTATGTTGTGGTATTTCACTGCCTTATGTGGATTATCTTAGGAACATCAGTTCAGAAAAAATTAAGTCCTTAATCTGCTGGTTCTTTTTGGACCTTTACTCCACATTTGGCCCATCTGTCCCTATTGACCTAAATAGATTATTATCCTGAGGCCACAAAATCTGCTGCCCGTGAGAAGGGTGCTCAGCATGCCAGTCACTACCAGAGGTTTCAACATCCTCTCTGTGAAAATTCAGATAGGGAGTACACATGCTGTTGAAAGACCTTGAAGAGAGGGGTGGGAGCCCCAGGTTGTTTCCATCTTCGAGCAATGGAAGGAAACCCAGTGGCTCCTCAAGCTGTGCCAGAGCACCTATTAGCATGGATGGGAGATGATACTGGTCTTGATATGAAGGTGTGGTAGAGGTTGCCTCTCTCTCTTTTTTATTCTGCCCCACATCAAGTTCCTGTCAGAGGCAAGTGCCTTGGCACCCTACCTGAGCCTTCTCCTAGAGGTACTGAGTTCACTGTTGAGATCATCACTGTTTTTCTATACAGGACTCCAGCTCATAGGAATTCTGTGTGAAGACCAGAGTCCTTACTGCAGCAGCCTTGACCATTCTTTCAAAACCGCCTAGCTCTTATTGGACCTAAAGGTTCTTCCACGCCTGATCTGTAAAATACAGAACATTGCCAATATACTTCTCAGTCTCGCCTTAACTTCTGGCAGGGCCAGAAATGGGGAGGAAATGATCCTGGGCTTCCAGGCCTGAAGTCAACTTCAGGGATTTTCCCAGGAGGGGCAAACCTCAGAAGGATGTTTCTGTAGGTTTGAAGGAGAAGGGCACTGATATTGGCATTGCATAGAGACGAGGGGCAGCCAGAATGCAGCTACCACAGTCAGGGTGTCTCTTGCCTGCTTGGCTATTTATTCAGCATTTGATGCTGTGTTATTTTTAACAGTCATCTAGTTTCCAAAAAAAAAAACCAAAAAAACACACAAAAAACAAAAACAAACAAACAAACACAAACAAACCAAAAACCAAGCAAACCCTTTTTGTTCATAAGTGTTTTTAATAAAAGATTTTTTTCCTGGTTTTCTTGGGCGGAAGAATTTATTTCGTCAAAGAATGACAAAAGACAATAAAGAGCACTCAGTTGAATACGGTGGGTTTTTTTCCTTGTGCTGCGACTGCAGGATCAAGGCTGTTGACTTTGAAATTACAGCCTTATAATACTCTTGTACAGCTTTGCAATAATACATATTTTGTGTTTCAAAGTAGCTGCATGTGTGCTTATCTGAGCAGGTGAGATTAGAAACAAAAAATGGAAGGAAATTTGAGTGGGGAAAAGGTCTTCTCTCAGTCCTGTTCCAACACAGTGCCCTTTTATGTATGGAGTAGCAGTTTGAGAATAGAAAATGCCACAAATATATTTTTGAAGAAAGAATAATTGTAACCTCTTCGGAAAGTGAAAATTATGTTTGCTGTTTTGGACACAGAAATGCATGTGCACTGGCTGCTCGTTTTAAGAGCAAAGTTGTGTTGATGACTGAAGTGTTGACATGCTCTGAGGAGTTACTGCAGGAACACAGCTGGTCATTCTACCAACATGTCAACGAAAGAACACCATCTCGTCTTTCCCTATTGGAGATTCCTTGTCAAAGGATGTGTAGTAAATGAATATTGTTTCCATTGCTGTCAAAATATCTCTGTGCTGCGCTGCACTTTTCAGTACATTGCAAGTATGTGTAAAGTAAACAGCAACAACCATTGGTCATTCAAAGGAATTTTTTTGCCAGGTTCCTTGTATTAAGGGTAGGTTATGGTCTTACAGCCATAAAACTGAAGAGGATTTCACCAAGAAGTCCTTTGCTTGGTATCCACCTTAGCCATGTCCCAAGTCAATTAGTGAAGTACAGCAGCCCTTCCCACCCTTACACAGGTACGTCAGTCAACACTTACTTGTAGTGTTGACTTGGAATATAATTTCCCCTTCTGAAATTATCCACCTGGCCTCTTATTTTATTAATACACATATTCTTGAACAACTCTCAGACTGCAGAAAATCCAAACAGTTTAGGAGACATTACATACACATCAAGCATTTAGTAGTCACGTCAATGTTTGAGGAAACTAAGTGCCACAGTAAGACATCTGGAAAGCAAAACATGCTGAGCAAAATGAAGTTTTTTCCAAACTACTCAGGAAACTGAGGCTGTAAAAGGGTCTGCTGTTTCCAGAGGAAAGAGAAAAAAAAAAGTTGGATCATAAAAAGTAAGAAAGGTCCAGAGGGTACATCATGGTAGAGACCCCTCTTCAGGTTCTTTCTTAAAACTCTTGTTAATCCATATAAAGCGCCACTAGTACAACAATTGAGAGCTGTGGTTTACAATGAAGTCAGCTTCAGGTGACCTGAATCCCAACTGGGTGTTCCTTTGTGAAAATTAAGTTACAACCTTCTTGTGTCCCTCCCTCTCTTTCCTTGCAACTCTTGTTTTGAGGTGGACATCCCCCACAACCTTTCTCTTCCCTCACTGCTCTGTTATCAAGTCTGCAAGATGCTGTAAATGTTCCCATCATCTTGTGTAGGAAAATGCACATCCTGGAGCTCTCTCACACACAGGTACAAAACGCCCTTCATCTTTGCAACAGACTACTTCCTACCTTCAGCTGTCCTAGACCAGAGAGGCCAGAACAGTAATCTTTGTGCTTGGCAACTCAAATGAAATGTAGGTAGATTGTCAGAAAGTCTCACTGCTTAACATTCAGAAAGTTCCCCTCAACAGCAGGATGCTGTAACTTGATCACTAAAGTCAGAGATGGTATGACCAGATCCTGCAATAAGTCAACAGACCATGACAGTGGACAAGAGCAAGGAGACCACATTTGTGTGGCCACTCCAGTTAAAACTTCCATATATGTGACAGAAGTCTTATTAAATATGATACCATACAGCCGTGAGGACATGGGTTTGAGAATCAATTATTTCAGAAGATACAAGAATAATCCTACCATTTTATTGCTTTAAAATCCATTGTTTAAAACATTTGTTGCAGGTACAACTTTAAGAGGTTAAGAGAATCATTAATATATTTACTCAATTTGCATTGCTAAAAAAGGCACAAATTTAAAAGATGCAAGGGCTAAAAGAGAGCTGCCTTTAGTCTAATTTCCTCTCCATTTAATTTTGTAGAGGAAATTTGAACTTTTTAATTTGATAAAACATGACATACTCATTGATGTTAAGAGCCAAAAAAAAAATGAAGACAAAAGCAGTCCAGGAAAACTATTAATGCAGCCAATTTTTTTTTTCTCTTAAGTCCCTACCAAGTCACTTCAAAATTATTTTGATATTATACTGGATAGTAGTCAATAGTGGCGTATACACCAACAAAACTGTATTTCTGTAAAAATTCCAGGACTTACACAACTTGTTTTCCACAACAGCCTAATGTTATGAAATAAAATTTCACATTCATTAGTACAGGGGGGTTTACACTGATGAAAAAACATATAAATTTCACTATGTCCTCCTATACAGGAAAGTCTGAATGATTTAACAAAAACACTTACTGTGTCAGGTGTGCTGTTCTACACTAAAATTGATGGAAACCCATGTTATCTAACAGGCTAGTTAAACATAGAGAACAACTCAGAATCCAGTCTTACTCTGGTATCAGAAGTTATTTATTTGTCTTACAAGGTAATTCTCAATATTGCTTGAAATTTTTAGTGCACAGAATTTGTCTCAGAAAACATCAACAATAACAGTATTTCTAATGCCTCTGTGTTAAACTCAGTGTGGGTTCCTGAAAAATCCTCTGTGATTTTTGCCCCATGGTACTAGCTTGAAGTTTATGTAGAATATACCAAAACTCATGACACAAAGCCCCAAGAGATTACAGCCAATTCTGTGTCAGCCCTTAATTTGTGAATACAGACACCGTCAGTTATACCTTACTTAGTTTCAGGAAAAGTTCAAGCTGGCCCTACTTGAACAGAAATTTACAGAGAAAGCAAGGTCTTCTCACAGCTCTGATATAAGCTACAGAATAAGGCCACTTAAACTTGGTTCATTTTTTTTCCATTAAAAAAAAAAAAAAGGATGAAGGAAGCATTGTCAGTTAAGTTTACAAGCAACACTTTGCATAACCCAAGACACAATCCTCTTAATATTTCACTGGAAGAACAGATTGCCTCAGCTCACATTAGAAGTAACACGGGTGGTAAAGGATCACAACTGTGTACCCCGAAACAACTCTCACTAGAAAGCAGACTGCTTTCCAACAGGCTGTTTGGGATGTGAAATCTAATTCTGATGTTAGAACTGAAAGAGGAAGATATTCCAGTGCGCATATTTACTGTGTGACCAGCCACTATGGCTGAATAGCCATAGAGAGAATCAATGGTTAAGCAGCACTACCAGAATTGCAATAAAAACTGAACAAATTAGTCACAGTACTGCTGTTTAACATGCCAAGTCTCTTCCATAAAGTAAACACTTTCAAGTTAAGTACAAATCGCTCCAAGCCTGTTTTAAATATCACACACA